ATTGGCTGTCGTGTTACACACAATCAGGTATCAATTTGCAAATATATTTCAACTTCCGCAGACGCAAATGGAGTTGAATACCACTTTGCTGCAAGTACATGTATGTTTCTAGGTTTGTCAGCTCCATACTTGTGCTGCTTCACAAAGTAGAGGGTAGCCTAGTGGTTAAAGCATTCGCTCGTCACGCCGAAGACCCGGGTTCGATTCCCCAATGTGTGAAGTCCATTTTTGGTGTCCCCCGCCGTGATGTTGCTGCTAAAAGCGGCGTGAAACCATACTCGCTGGCTCGCTCACTCACTCACTCACTCACTCACGACCGCCTCCGTGGTGTAGTGGTTAGAGCGTCCTACCGGAGAGCGAAAGGTCGCGGGTTCGATCCCCGACCGCGTCATCCCAAAAGACGTTAAAATATGGTACTTGTTTGTCCCTGCCTGGCGCTCGGCATTAATGGGTACAACAAGGACTGGTCGGCTCGGAGTCAGTATAATGTGTCTGAGTGGGGTGTTCATGCTTCACTGCGGCATGGTATCTCAGTGGGCTAGCACTATAAAACCAGCTTAAGTCTGGGCTAGTACAAGCAGCCGCACATACACATACACACGCATGCACGTCGTCATATGAGCGAAATATTCCCAAGCACGACGTTAAACCCAATTTCACCTCACCTCACTTCACTCACTCACTCACTCACTCAAAGTGGTATTATTTTGGAATTTTCTCCAACACAAAGCTGACACACCGTCATATAACTGAAATGCAGTTCAAAGCGGCGGACCCGACTCGATGATTTACAGACCATCGTCATACAGCTGGAAAATGCCTGAGTGCAAACAAACAAACAAACAAACAAATCAAAACGGCGTTAGCCCCGATTCACTCACACGGTTGATGATAAATATATAAACGTTCATCTTCAGTTGTATAACTATATCGTCCCTGTAGCCTATGACATCACGCACTCACTCACTCACTTGTAATTCTTGCCATGTGGTGAGAAACATTTTAAAGATCATGGCCATGCCATGTTGCAATCATTTAAGTGTTATAATGACAGCTCCACTTGTGTTCGCTGGACATTGGAAAACACCATGTGAGGTATGATTCTACAACGCCCAGCGGAAAAGCCGGACATATCCCATAAACACCTTCTCTGGTCGTTCACGAAACAAGGTGACGTTGGATATATGTATCGTGACATGGAAGTGTATTAAAAGAGAGGCATTATGACGTTATTACATGGTTGCCTGTGGCAATATAATATGATTTATTGTCCAATTATGAATATTTCACACAGTATCCGTGGCCAAAATACAGACTTTGCATTGGCAGATAGGCAGTTCTAAGATAGGTAATTCCATATTCATATCTTTACTTTACTTTAAAGTTGATTTAATATTTTATGTCGTTTATTTTTTCAATATACGGATCAATACGTTTATATAAGGTCCCCGATTGGAGATTTCAAATGCTGGACCACATCGGTCAAATTCTCGCTGATGACAGCAAATCTCGAGTTGGGTGATCGAGACCCATAAATCCCCAGTCACTGCCTTGTAATCCAACCTGCTACAGTTCTAAGTGGTACCTTGAATCAGGTATCGTGTATCACGTCATTTCGCGGCTCTCCTCAATATGAGGACAGTTCAAACACTCATTTTCTTTTTAAAAAACTCTGCTAAATACCAAAGTATCGGCGAATCTCAGGTTATATATCTTCAGACTGGTATTGCACAACAGAGGTTGTCGGTGATGGAAGGTTCTGGATATTTCAGCCGAACCTTCATAAATATATCATTCTCTGTTCTGAGCAATAAAACCCAAAACAAAGGTATCTGTTATCGGTACAGTAGACACATCATGCCTCATGTTTTAGTCATTCAGTATGTGACTTTGTGAAACATCCGTCTCAGACAGTATGACGGGGATGCTGATGGGAGATGCCTAGACTAACGCTTTGTCTCTGAATATATATATTGTGATGGAAACAAATAATTAAATTGAAAAGGAGCCGCAGTGAGAGGACATTCGGAAACTGAGGAAATCTAGACTTGCTTCATGTAGAGCTTAAGCATTGCAGAAAGGGCTGGGCGGAGGGGAAAATAATGTGGTTCGGGGACTCTGAGACAGACTAGGAGACGCCATGCATAGCTAAAGAGCACTTGTCTGATCATGACCAGGTACTTCGTAAGCATATTCTATAGTAATGTTTCGTTTTCACTGAATTATTCAGTAGTGTTCTGAGTGTGTTTTCTAAGAGGTTGATTGTTTCTAATTTCTCAAGGGGAAGAGAGACATAGTGACCGTCATTTTGAATTTGTTTTGACAACAGGAAACTATTTAGGTTGTTCAATGTGAAGGTTTTGTGTTATCGGTGACGTGTTTTGTTGTTGTGTAAAGGTAAATATTTACCGTCTTTTCGTAGAATAGCTACAATGTTTTGGGAGTAAACAGGTGTTTCAAAACACTAGGCATGTTTGTCGCAATACTGTGGGCTATTGTAGAATGATTACTCTAGAGAAATATTATATATACATCTCATTTTATTCTCCAAATTACATACAGCATGTGCGGTGATGGGAGAGGGGGTGAGGTGATGGGAGAAGGGGTGAGGTGATGGGGAAGGGGTGAGGTGATGGGAGAGGGGTGAGGTGATGGGGAAGGGGTGAGGTGATGGGAGAAGGGGTGAGGTGATGGGAGAAGGAGTGAGGTGATGGGAGAAGGGTGGGGTGATGGGGAAGGGTGAGGTGATGGGAGAAGGGTTGAGGTGATGGGGAAGGGTTGAGGTTATGGGAGAAGGGGTGAGGTGATGGAAGGGGGTGAGGTGAGGGGTGAGGTGATGGAAGGGGGGTGATGTGAGAGGAGTGAGGCGATTAGAGAGGGGTTGAAGTGATGGGAGAGGGGATGCTCATGCTGTTGATCACAGGATTGTCTATTCAAAACTCGATTATATACAGACCGCCGCCATATAGCTGGAACATTGCTGAGTGCGGCGTTAAACAACAAAGAAACCAACAAAAATCATAAATTACGACATTTCTTTTCAAATTTACATGTAAGGTCAATCAGTCGTAGAAAGTTATTGTAAATGATACCGTTATACCGTTAACGGGTACCTGCTATGGGGCTTCTCCATCAGTGAACCCGTGAAGGTCCGGGTTAGAATTGCTCTTCAGCAACCCACGCATGTCGTAAGAGACGACTAACGGGCTCGAGTCTTCAGGCTCGCTGCTGATGCATGCCATCGTATCCCAGTTGCGTAGACCGATGCTCATGCTTTTGATCACTGGATTGTCTGGTCCAGACTCGATTATTTACAGACCGCCGCCATATAGCTGTAATATTTGTGAGTGCGGCGTAAAACTAAACTCACTCACCCTCCATCATTGAGGAGCATGCCCCTTTAACAGGCTGTAATGCAACTCACTTCATGATCTGCTTGCTTCTGAAAAGGTCACGTACGGAAGTCGAGGGCACGACCTGGTTTCAGTCCGCACTCTTTCGTATCTTTTTTTTGTGGAAATCACTTAAAATTAGACACTTTTGTCGTTGATATTCAGAGGTATTGAACTGCATTCAAGATCAGACAAAGGAGTGTCTACTAGACCAATGTACGCCTATCTGGGTTGTCTGGGAGCCACTAAAATCAATATTTCATTATCAGTAACAGCATCTCATCTACAGGCAGTAGACCAACTAAATATCACACACTTTGGTATGTGCAATTTATCTGCAATATTTGATAACTTTCCGGTTCCAGGATTCAAATGCCACCGTGAATGCGGCTTGCACCTTCAGACACATTCATTTTGAGATGACAGCTGCACACTTCTTCTCCTCTCGGTCGTATGAACATTAACTAGGTCATACACTGAGACCGTGAGGCTTAGTGTTCATAACATTAGGTAGCGTTTCAAATATGCTTGAAATCGTACTTACTTGGAAGCGCGTGTCAAGTGACGTCTTCAATACTTTTTCAGCTTTGATACCTGATTCATTTGCGTTTTATGTGAGTGGGTGATAGCGTTTGGTTTGACAGTCGTACACTAATATCACGGCGTACACTAATATCACGGCGCGTTATGTTATGTTCTAAACAATAAGCTTGGTTCAAGCTTTCTGTGGGAAGAAATCCCGAAGTAAGGCAATTCTTAGACGTTGGCCACTTCTAAGTGCGTACTGATAACCCTTAGCATCTCATAATCAGAACGAATCTGGGATTCGAACCCACAACGATAGCCCTATGGCACGGTTAAAGGTAGCAGTTCCATACAGAGAATTCCGGCGCCTTCGACGACAGGGCCCCCGTGCTCCCTGGTGTTTTTAACAATTGATCTGTCCGCCGATTGTCGTCAATATCAGTGGGAAATATGTACATAACGCCCGTGACACCAAATTATCTGTATCATAAGTGACATGGTTGTCGCGTCACCGTCCTCTCAGTTTACGATCACGACGCTGCATAAAACCATACTCACTCACTATTTGAAGTGGTTTAACAGTTTCTGTTCGTCGGGCTCCTTGACCGATCATATTATCCGAACTTTTTCCTTTCCATCAGAAACGCCGTGTCCCAAGTTGACCGTCTTCTCCTTGTTTGTTTGCTTTTCTATGACAATGCTGAATACAGCCACGTATGCCTGGGCGGCTAAAGGGATCGGATGGTCAGGCTCCCTGACTTGGTTGACACATGTCGTAGTATCCCAATTGCGTAGATTGATGCTCATGCTGTTGATCACTGGACTGCTCGTTTACGTGGTTGTCATATTCCATTTGGGTACATCAATGTTTCAATCACAATATTGTCTGGTCCAGACTCGATTATTTACAGACATCCGTCCATAGAGCTGAACATTTGTGCGGCGTTGAATAAACAAACAAACAAACAACAAACAATGCAGCAATAATTCATCACATCCACTCGCTTATTCACTATGTTAATTTAGAAAATATAGACGTCTTTAAATACATATTATATTATATCTGTGTGTGTCTATTGCCAGCCCTGGACACGACGAACGCTATGGTCAAGAAGCAGGTGTTCGAGCTGCTGTCCGCCCTGTGTGTCTACTCCCCAGAGGGATATCGGCTTGCCCTAGACGCCCTGGAGACGTTCAAGGTAGGCCACGTCGCTGTGTGGATTTAATCGAATCTGAATATGATCAATACTTGTATTCCATTAAAACTTACTGCTCAAACTGTTTCGTTGAAGGAGAGCAAATGATATTATAAAAATTAGTTCTTCAGTTTCACGGTTTGAGGTTAACCTAACCAACACTTTCAAACGCGCTTACAATTATTTACGAATTTTTGAATAAAAAGAAATCTTTTTCTCCCCTTTTCTTCCCACAGTGTAAGTTAATTTCATTAATGGAAAGAACTCCAAGTTAGTTTATGGAAGTAACCATTTCTGGTCTTATATAGCCGAGGAGATCCGGGTTAGAATTGGTCTTAATCAACTCATGTTTGTCGTAAGAGACGACTAACGGGATCGGGGATCAGGCTCGCTGGCTTACTTGATGTGTGTCGTCGTATCACAGTTTCACACTGGATCGATACACGTGAAATCAGCCACGATCATCGAAAGATCGCCGTCACACAGATGACATACTGCTGAGTGTTGCGTTGAACAATACAAAATTTACCCCGCCTCAAAAGTTGAAGTCGGTGTTTTAAATATTTGTATCTTATTTCGACCACTATGGTTTTGGCGAAAAGTATTTTCATCAACAAACCCGGAAAAATGGCATAATTCAATTGCTTAAAAATAAATAATTAAACGTTTCTGCAAACGATTATCCAAAATTTGTACCAATAAGTGCAGTATTGTAAACAGGTGCGCGTATTGCATGTTCCAAGTAATACAACAAACGGTTGTATGATTCTATCGTAATGATATCTACATGTGAGATTTCAAAACATTCTTTTCAGACGATGAAGAAACTGCGATATCGATTCAGTCTGATCGTGAACGAAGTGAAGGGGGCGGAGTTAGTGCCGTACAGGACAACGTTGGTAGCGTTCATCAACTGTATCCTGGTGGCCACCGACGATCTGAGGGAACGAACCATGATTAGGAGCGAGTTTATAGGTGGGTTCAGAGAATACAGTGAATGAGAAAGAATTACGCCGCTTTTAGCAGTATTCCAGCAATGCAATGTAGGGCTAGACAAGACTGAACCAGAAAAGGGCTTCACATATTGTACCCATGTGGGGAATCGAACCCGGGACTTCGGCGTGACGAGTAAAGGGTTTATCCTCCAGACTACCTCAGACTGTTTTGTTACAGACAGAATCTTGTTTAGAACCATAACATATTTCTCAGTACACGAAGCATAATATTTTCATTTTGTCAAATATCATTATTCCTTTTTCAACCTTTTCTGGGAAAAAATATGTTTAAAATATATGCTCACACAAAATGGCCGACCCCATTTATTTGAGTAGTATACGTGCTGTTAAGATTCTGGGGTCTGAGTAGGTTCTAACCCACACAAAAACACTTGACCCTTCGACACCAAAATAACTGACACATTCACAAAAAGTAGATTTATCTCCCAACAGAGAGTCATCATATATAGGCTAAAAATGTGGAATCAATACTACGTGCTTCCTACTGACGGCAAAGTGGTATGTATTTAACAAGGCAATACATTCATCGCCCTCACATCCTGACCGGTCTGGACGACGTATTGAGTGTTCTGTAAAACACTGGGTCATTGTCCTTATGAGTGAGTGAGTGAGTTTAGTTTTACGCCGCACTCAGCAATATTCCGGCTATATGGCGGCGGTCTGTAAATAATCGAGTCTGGACCAGACAATCCAGTGATCAACAGCATGAGCATCGATCTGCGCAATTGGGAACCGATGACATGTGTCAACCAAGTCAGCGAGCCTGACCACCCGATCCCGTTAGTCGCCTCTTACGACAAGCATAGTCGCCTTTTATGGCAAGCACATGGGTTGCTGAAGATCTATTCTACCCCGGCATCTTCACGGGTCCATTGTCCTTATGAAATAAGATAATCAAGTATTGGTAATAGAACTGGATCGTAAAACGCTTTTATGACCCGATTCCAAAATAGCTATGTAAAGTACTTCAATTTGGTCGGAACCCTTGCAGCCGAAAGGCTTGTAAACGAAAGACATGTCTACAATGTCAGCTTCACTGCAGCCCGAGATTCTTTGATAATATATATCGGTGGATCGACATTAGGAAAATGTCATCAAGCCTAAAGAAAGTGCTTGTGACCATAAAGGTAGAAATGTGAATGCTATTTGTCGACTTACCACGACAGTAGAAATAGGGGATAAATACGTCAAATTCTAGCAGAACACGACATGCATTTGGCGTTTCCTCTCTTTGAGACGCGTCACGCCGAAGGCCCGGGTTCGATTCCCCACATGGGTTCAATGTGTGAAGCCCATTTCTGGTGTGCCCCGACGTATATATATTGCTGGAATATTGCTAAAAAAAAGCGGCGTAAAGCTTAATTCACTCACTCTTTTTCAGACGACGATGCAGTCAGAAAACGTCAAAAGAATATTGTTTTGTCTTGTTTTGTTGGGGTTTTTTGTGTTTGTTTTGTTGATGTGTGTGTGTGTTTAAGTCCAGTCGCGTGCTACACTGAATGCTGTACACTGAAGTTCTAGATACACCTTTAAGTTCAACTCTAGTTCAATACAAGAAACAGGAGCGATTTTTAAAAAAATAAACAAATAGAACCCAACTATTTATTAAAATGGTACATATTTTTAAACACAAGCAGGAAATGTTCTTAAAAATACAAAATCAGCTCATGTGGCCTATGGAACACAACAGCATATATACAAACTACATCACCGTCGATATTCTCTCGTGATGCAATTGACAATACACGTGTTCAATACCAGGAAGTGAGTGTTAACGAATACCCACGCGCGTTGCAATACACTCACTAACTGTCAGTCAACGCTACGCTCGACAGGTAGGTAATTAATGAAGGCTAATTAACAAAGATACCGGATGAAATACACACCTGTCTCCAGTTGAAATCGCAGTGTCATCTCCACGTCTATAAGTTTGGGCAGACTCCATTCCATTCCATTACAGTACTCGGAGAATGTAAGCTCTCAGTCATCTTAACGGAACATTGCAAGTTTTATATTTCGTCACATACCAGAAATATGAGGGTACTCAACCACCCTGCCATGAGTCCCCGACCCGGTGAGTCCCACTGATGTTTCTGTTCTCTGCCTTGTGGGAAATTACATTCTAATCGTTATATGGGTAAAATGGACACGCTGTCGTTGTTATTTTAGGCATACGGTTGTTTAATTATTACCAATCTGTCCTTGTTTTATCCCCATCCTGCCCCGCTCCAAGCAGGGTAATGACATGTACCATCTTTTAACGTCTTCGGCACGACGAGGTATCGACCTTCCGCTTTCCGGGCAGAATATCCTGATTATCAAACTTTCGTATTAACATGTAAAGGTTTATGAGTTTTGTTACAACATTGCTGGACGATATAGTTCCTGGTGACCCGGGACCGCATTGACGGGTTTCACTGTATATGACCTTTCCAAACAGGAATCGGATGCCCTCGTCACAAAATTGCTGGAATATGACAACACAAAATTGAACAAAAAAACCCTCACTCACTCATTCACCTACTCACTCACTCTGGATTAAAGAGATCGGCCTTTGGGGAGTTTATCTGACAAGAGCCCCGTACCACACAACAATCGTATAACTGCTAATACGATAACAACCCTCGTCCTTTCTCACTGACTTGAGACAGCTGTTCTGCGATTACGCAGCTTTGCGAAACGGGAAGCAGGTGCTCACTGCGATCCTCATCAGGGTTAAATGTTGCCTCAACAACGCTTCGAAATTCAACTATGTGCTTATTTTGGAATGTATTTATGGGTAATTACGTCACGTGGAACTTAGCGGTGTTTGGCGCCAAGCTCGTGACAACCACAACCAAAATCACGATATAATTCAATTTCTGCATCTTTATGTATGAATGACAATCAGAGGCAAGGTAATTGAAGAATTAATTTAATTGACAGGGCACTGGCGGTTTAAATTTGATTTAATTGGGCATGTCATTAGAACTACCGCTGTAGGAAATCAAATATTGGAAAAACCAAAATAGATGTTGACGTAATTATTGCACGTATGGATTAATATTTAAATAGCTTGTCACACAAACAATTGGAGACTTGTTTTGACTCTGTTTTATCAGAATCACATCTTACAGTTCAATTGTATTGTCTCTGTTGGTGATGTCAGTCTGTCACGTGACCTGGCAGCGCAAAATGCGGATATTAACAGCAGAACTGTTGTCAATTTCGGCCAGGTTCCAGACCGCACGTCGTCAATTATTACTCGATATGTTGGACATATCATATTGCATCGAGGGCGATGGGTAGCATTCAGGTTTAAGGATTTCGATCGTCACACGGAAGTCTTGGGTTCGAGTCATCATATTGGTACGATGTACATGTATTAATATAAGCTCAATTCGGGTGTCTCTATATGTAATATTGCAGGAATAGTGTCCAAAGAGGTGTAAAACCCTATACAGTCACATTGTCTTGTACAATACATCAATCAATCATTTTTGCCCCTCACACACCAACGTTCGCTGAATGTCTTGAAACAAGTGTTGAGGGTCCAAAAAAATATTTGGACCCCAGTTCCAGTGAATTTGTTTGTATAAAGAGCAGTATAGACATAAAAAGCCTCTTCTGTTCCTTACAAAAACCCTTAGCAGTTTGATACATCCCCCACCAAAATCCAAACCCCGCAGTGGGATAGGCTTGTGGTTAAATCGTTCGAAGGCCTGGGTTCGATTCCCCACATGGGTACAATATGCGAAGTCCATTTCTGTTGTCCACTGCCGTGATACTTCTGGAATATTGCTGAAAGCGGCGTAAACTATAAACTCACTCACTCGTATACATTCCATGACAGATTAACTATAGTCACTCACTCACTCACTCACCACCTTTAGAGAAAGCCTGCCTTATGGAGTGAAACCTTGTTAATCTGGACGATAACATTCTGTCTGTAACTGTCCGGAATAACACATTTTCTGATTAATTAATCATGATAAAAGTGTAATGTCACTTTGTAATCATGTAAGATTTCCAAGCATTGATCGTCCGAATGAGGAGTTCCCTGATAAACAGGATCCGGTTTCTTTGTATGCTAAACAAAGGGACATAGACCTACATTTGTGATTTGCTAATCCGGTAAATGATAAAATCCAGTCGATGTATATTTCAATGGAACGTGTACGGTGGGTTTTGTATGTGTGCATTGTGCCAGAGGAGGTGGGTAGTCCAGTTGGTTAAGTCGTTCTCTCGTCACGCCATGTTCGATTCCGCACATGGGTACAGTGTTTCAAGCCCGTTTCTGGTTATTGCAGGAATATTGCTCAGAGCGGCGTAAAACTAAACTCAATCACTCACTCCATTCCTGTAAAGGTTTTATGAGCTTTCTGGAAGGTATAACTGTCTCAATATAATATCATTGCAACATTGATTTATTTTCGCAGGTCTCAACCTCCTCGACCTTATCCATGAGATGCGCGACATCGACGACGATGACCTCAACATTCAGTGTGACGTCTTTGACGACGAGAAGCACGATGATGACGAGGAGCTTGCCGCCATGACGTCAGCAGCGCTTGACATCAGCAACCCAGAGGAGGTGTTCAAGGTAGTCCTTCAGAAGGTAGGTCAATGGTTGCCTTCAGAATGACCAAGTGAAACTAAGTATACCTGATCTAAGTGAGAGGCCAATTGCAAGCAGCTAAACAACGTCAGCCATTCAATGATTCTCTGTCTCCTTCTGACCCGTGAAGATCCGGGGTAGAATAGGTCTTCAGCAACCCATGCTTGCCACAAAAGGCGACTATGCTTGTCGTAAGAGGCGACTAACGGGATCGGTTGGTCAGGCTCGCTGACTTGGTTGACACATGTCATCAGTTCCCAATTGCGCAGATCGATGCTCATGCTGTTGATCACTGGGTTGTCTGGTCCAGACTCGATTATTTACAGACCGCCGTCATATAGCTGGAATATTGCTGAGAGCGGCGTAAAACTAAACTCACTCACTCACTGTCTCCTTCAACCTCATTCATACAGTGGCAGTAAACCATGAGATAGTAGACGTCTTCACTCCAAGTCTCAGACTTTTCCTCTCAAACTCCACTGACACATTCAGATGTGATTTTGGTAACCTGCTGAACTCAGACGCGAACAGTATGAAACATCACTGTCAAAATGGCCAATAAGTCTCGAAGGAAATCCACATCTGTTAGTAGCCTCCTGGACAACCTTGAGCCCCGGCGCTCCCTGCAGTTTTCCAGTCACGTAAACGGAGCTAAGTGCATGGGCGGAGCTAATTCATTTGTGTCTGAGTTAACTCATCGGTCACGGAAAGGCTTGGCCAGCCACCATCAGCCTCTACATCACTCCCTACGTCACCTGTATGACACCTTCCACGTCTCTCCTATATAATATCGTTACCGTAGTTTGTGGCCAGATAATTATTTTTGTATTATTACATGAAGTTTGACCTATAGGAGAAGTCCGTGTGTGATGTATCGTGTGGTATCAGTCCTTACCTCCGGCAACGTATTAGCTATCTATGGATGCTGGCCACCATCGCCCGCTCCATCTAACGTCAGTTCATTGCAATGTCTGTCTTTCTCTGTCCGTACTTCATCCAGACACATGACCCGTGAAGATCCGGGGTAGAATAGGTCTTCAGCAACCCATGCTTGCCACAAAAGGCGACTATGCTTGTCGTATGAGGCGACTAACGGGATCGGGTGGTCAGGCTTGCTGACTTGGTTAACACATGTCATCGGTTCCCAATTGCGCAGATCGATGCTCATGCTGTTGATCACTGGATTGTCTGGTCCAGACTCGATTATTAACAGACCTCCGCCATATATCTGTAATATTGCTGAGTGCGGCGTAAAACTAAACTCACTCACTCACTCACTCATCCAGCCACACGATGACTGGCTAGTTTAAACATGCGACACATCCTGGTCAATGGAGTTATTAAATTATTAGACAGATGGCTCAAACTGTGCAGCATAGACACGCATATCGTACATCCTCCTGTCTGTGAATCGTTCGGTGAAAGCGTCTAAAACTTATGAGGAAGACAGAACTAAAATTTGATGTTTCAATGAAGGGCAAAGAAGGTTCTTCCCTCCGATTGATCACATGTACCCCATGGTTGTCTCCCTTTGAAGATTTGGACTATGTCTCCTGTAACCCAATTTTGTCTCCCTGTAGGAGTGAGTGAATGTGGTTTTACGCCGCTTTTAGCAATATTCCAGCAATATCATGGCGGGGAACACCAGAAATGGGCTTCACACATTGTACCCATTTGGAAAATCGAACACGGGTCTTCAGCGTGACGAGCGAACGCTTTAACCACTAGGCTACCCTACCGACCCCCCTGTAGGATACTGATGCTAGAGTGGCCCTCCAGCCCCCCATGCTGTATCCCCATATTTCCACCCCCGAATGTGTCTCCTGTAACATTCTTGTCTCCCTTTGAGGATTCTGACGCCGGATCTTGTTATTGGGTCTCCTAGTGTTTTCCAGATTCTAACCCGACCACAATAAAGTCAGACAAAGGTACTTTTCAGAGAAAGATGTGATGCTCAGTAAGAATATTTATAACAAATGGAACATTTGTAGTTTTTTGTCAAAAGCGTTTCTGCGACGAAATTGTTAAACTAAAAATGTCTCGCCTTTACGATGCTAATGTATAAGCTCGCTCTGTCACTCACTCACTCGCTCACTCGACCATGTTCCTCTCATTGACGCCTTTCAATCCTCCAAGTAAGCTGGAACGTCTCAATATTTCTCATCTCCATCAAAAACCTCATAACATCGATCAACACTAACCTTTAAAGCAAACTTCAAATTGATCACATTACACAGATGAGATCCCAGGCTGATGTAAAGACATTAAATATTTTGATACAACATTCGATAAAAGGGTCACCACAACTCGTAATCAAGATTAAGCTCCACTTGAGCCGCATTCCCAAATTAATTGAAAACCCGTTTTTGCCTTCCTATTTCATGATTGAAACTATTTCTTCGGCTTACAACAGTTGTCCAAGCCGAGAGGTGATTGGAAGTTATTGTCCAGAGCAACGCAGGGGTTGTCTTTGGTGTGGACATTTCGTGGACATACCCGCTGAGATATGTTAGTGTGGCGATTGCTCGACGGCGGGTCAAAGACAATGTTCATTTTTCACTGATAGAAATGTAACATTATCCGACAGAGATCTCCGACTTTAAATTCAGCAGTGTAGCTTTGAGAAAAGGAGAAAAGTGATGAATCGTGCCAGCGTCTTGATGGATGGAGGGTGCTAAGTCCCCGTGGTTTCAAATGGATATTGATGACGGATTCAGAACAACCGCTGGCAGCGCCATCAATCAGAACTTCAAATCCTAAGCTTCTCTAGTTGTCAGCGAGTTTTTCTTCATTGAAATATGAACAATCTGAAATATAATCCTTCAAGTTTAAAATGGAATTCAAAAAGCGTCATTGAAAATTGATTAAATGAGGATCAGTGTCCGCAGTCTGAGGCGTTTTGCATCATACGCATATATTGCCGTTCACGGCCCCCAGCAAGTACGGGTCGAATTCATATTGATTTCGGGCACAGCAGGCCCTGGCGTCTTAGGCGCAACAATACGTTCTTCAGAGTTGTGTCCCTTTACGTACAGGAATCATAAGATCGTAGGTTCGAATCCCAGACTCTCCCTGGCTTTGCTTTGAGGTTTTTAAGCATAATAACAGTGCTGATGTGGTAAACGTCTAAACTCTGGTCAACGTTAAGTTGACCGGACATGATTTGTGACTAACTGGTCTAAGTGGCGTTAAAATGGACTCACCCACCATCACTGACCTATTTATAGCTACTTCTCTAATGTGTCTCACAGTCCCTGAACCACATTATTTTCCCTACTGCGAAGCCCTCTCTGCAGTCCTAAAGCCCTAAATGAAGCAAGTCTAGATTTCCTCCGGTTCTGAATCTCTGGTCTCCCTGGGGCTCCTTTTCAATTTAAATGGGCTTGTTTGTTACTATCCAAATTATATATATTCAGAGACTAAGCCTTAGTCTATTAGTTCTCCTGAACAAGGTTTTATTGACTTGTGGTTAAATGGTAACCTTGAGGGTTTAAGTTCAAGGCGGCAATTACGAAATCCACTCATACTGTTCTCCGCTGTGATGTGACTGGCATATTGCCCACATGGGTGTTCTCACTCACTCACTCACCTACCCCCACCCACCCACTCACTCACTCACTCACTCACTCACTCACCTGCACCCACACACACTCACACACCTGCACCCACCTGCACCCACACACACACACTCTCACCTACCCACACACTCTCACACATTCAACCACTCACTTAGCCACCCCACTACACACTCACCAACTCACTCACTCACTCACCCACTTATTCACTCCAATGAACGCGCTAATCATCGTTTCACAGAGTGCAGCGTATGTCAAGGGGACAACTAATGTGGACAACTAAGAGAGATGCTGAGAAGCGTAAATAGTGTTGATGTGACGGCGTTCAGGATGTCTATGTTAACAAGTAGTTTAGATACCCATGTTGTTATCTTCCAGGTGTACAACACCCCCCACGCCGACGTCTTCCTGTCTATCCTGCAGTCACTGTTGCAGATCGACCCAGACACACATCTCAGGTAACTCCTATCTTACGTAGCATATATCTCAGGTAACACATATCTCTTGTAGCACATATGTAAGGTAGCACATCTCAGGTAACTCTTTATCTTACGTAGCATATATCTCAGGTAACACATATCTCCTGTAGCACATATGTAAGGTAGCACATCTCAGGTAACTCCTATCTCACGTAGCATATATCTCAGGTAACACATATCTCTTGTAGCACATATGTAAGGTAGCACATCTCAGGTAACTCCTATCTTACGTAGCATATATCTCAGGTAACACATATCTCCTGTAGCACATATGTATGTAAGGTAGCACATCTCAGGTAACTTCTATCTTACGTAGCATATATCTCAGGTAACACATATCTCTTGTAGCACATATGTAAGGTAGCACATCTCAGGTAACTCCTATCTTACATAGCATATATCTCAGGTAACACATATCTCCTGTAGCACATATGTAAGGCAGCACATCTCAGGTAACTCACATCTTACGTAGCATATATCTCAGGTAACACATATCTCTTGTAGCACATATGTAAGGTAGCACATCTCAGGTAACTCCTATCTTACGTAGCATATATCTCAGGTAACACATATCTCTTGTAGCACATATGTAAGGTAGCACATCTCAGGTAACTCCTATCTTACGTAGAATATATCTCAGGTAACACATATCTCTTGTAGCACATATGTAAGGTAGCACATCTCAGGTAACTCACATCTCACGTAGCATATATCTCAGGTAACACATATCTCTTGTAGCACATATGTAAGGTAGCACATCTCAGGTAACTCCTATCTTACGTAGCATATATCTCAGGTAAAACATATCTCTTGTAGCACATATGTAAGGTAGCACATGTCAGGTTTGAGATTTGAAATCACTTAATATGGTGTTTCTAAAGTACCACCAAGTATTAACATTTATGGTAACTCAAATCGCACATAACGGGTGAAGATCCAGGTTAGAATTGCTCTTCAGCAACCCGTATTTGTCAAAGAGGCCGCCAGCGGCTTATCATGGTCTTGCTCGCTGCCTTGGTTGGTGTATGTCATCGCATCTTAGATCGATGTTAATGTGAATCATTGTCAGGTTGTCAGATCCAGTTAAATGACGTCGCTAAACGTCTCCTATACCATGCTGTTACTTTACTGTTTGCATAAAATTCTCTTGGTTACAATTAGTGAAGCACATCAACATGGTTGAATATTGCTAAATTCACTGACTCTAATCAACTGTCATCTTCAGTGACAACCAGTGGAAGCTGATGGAGTTGGCGTCGCGCAAGATGGTGGTGCTGAAAGATACAGAAGACGTCAACAAGATGGTGGTGGACAGGATAATGTCACCCCGCGCGTTGCCCCCGAGAGACGAGGCTAACCGGAAAGACATTGCAATACAGACTGAAAAACTTCCGACTGGTAGTGGCGAAGTGCCCGGAAGTGAGGGAGTTGTCTCCCCTTCGACAGGAGAGGTTGTGTTAGTGAATGGCTTAGACCATCCAACGAATGGACTCATTTTGCCGCCAACAAAACCAACAGAAGCCTGGACTGAAGAGAGTCAAGTTGGCACAGCCAGTGAGGTTTCCTGCTCGTCATCAAATCAAGTCTGTGATAGAGATTCTTCCAGTAATGGATTATCAAATGGTGCTAATAACTCCTCAACAAATGGTGCTATCCCTCCACCCCCACCTCCACCACCTCAAAGTGCTTCAGCGTCTTCTACACCGCTAGCGCTACCACCTGGGGTGCCCCCGCCGCCGCCCCTCCTCCACCAAGTGGGATACCTCCACCACCCCCTCCACCGCCACCACCAGGGGAATTCCGCCACCCCCCTCCACCACCAGGGTGAATTCCGCCACCCCACCCCACCACCACCCCCCTCCAGGCGGTGGTATTCCCCCACACCTCCACCTCCACCCGGCAGCGGCATTCCTCCACCACCCCCACCCCCAGGAGGTGGACCACCTCCGCCTCCACCTCCACCAGGTGCACCCCCACCCCCAGGTGGAAACCGACCACACCCTCTTCAGTTCCGGAGTCCTGTTCCTAGTTTCCAAGGGATCTCAACGCCAAAACCAAAACACAAAATGAAGACTTTTAACTGGTCGAAGGTGCCGCCAACGGCAATGAACAGTAAGTATTGACTTGAGTGTCAAAATGACATCCAGAGATATACCAGCATAATGTCCGTAAAATCATCTTAAATGATTAATAGGTACTCGACTTAACTGTTGTGTTTCGCCAAACTCTGAATCGGGCAACCAACACTGTATGACTATAAATGTTGGGAATAACGTTCATTGCCCTGACTTAATAATTAATAACATGGCCAGTGCTACTGATTGCTTATCCTCTGGCGAACCAATGGCGTCACCACGAACCAATGGCGTCACCACGAACCAATTCTCCAGTTCATCCAGTCATACATTTATCACAATTTCGGATGCAATCAAGACCTGTTATTTCTCTGGCGTAGACATTTTATGTTTACCGTCAGATGCACACATAAATATGCTTGTACACACGAATAATAGGCAGGTTTACATAACATGAACATGCTTGAACACACGAATTATAACGGCAGAAGGATTTCTCTTGTAAAGACAGATTTCTAAGACACTGAACCATTTCATCAGCTCCTGCAAAGCTGCATGTATTTTTGTCAGCGACAGAAATAAGAACCGATCTGATTCTGGAATATATTCTTCATCTGAATACCAATTTTACATCATATCTAATATTTCACCAATTGTATATTTCAGGTGAGGACAACGTGTGGAAGGAGGTTTTGACCATGTCTGACAAGGTGAAGGTTCAGTACGACACCATTGAACAGCTCTTCTGTCAGAAGACGGTGGACAAGACTAAACCTGTAGAACAGACCAAGGTCAAGGCTCCAACAGAGGTAAGGCAATGGGTGTTGTTTTGCATCCTTGGATATTCTCTCTTACAAACCCCAGACCATTTAAGAAACTTAACCCCCATTCCATTCCACTTCTCATCATCTTCTCAGGTCCATTGCCTGTACTCAACCCACTCTCAACTATGTTGTTAAAAGGGTTGAGGCTTTTCTAAAACTGGACATCCTTTGTATAAGTAATTCTATTTATCCCTGTACTGAACCATATTTCAAATACTTTCTTTTAGTTTAAAGGATTTGATTGGGAGGTGAATACACAGTTATTCCATGGTACAATAAGTGCCCGAGGACCTCATCACTCACTCACACACGTACACATTCCATTACAGATGAACTGTTGCAGATCGATGCTCATGCTATTGATCACTGGATTGTCTGGTCCAGACTCGATTATTTACAGACCGCCGCCATATAGCTGGAATATTGCTGAGTGCGCGGTAAAACTAAACTCACTCACTCCCTCACTCCCTCACAGATGAACTGTAGTAATATGAAAGAATATGGCAGTGCTAAATTCATTTGGGTTTTACATGCTACCTGTCTGTCGGCTGATATCTTGGTGATAGTGTTATCTTTACTGGATTTTGCTAATATTACTGTTGTATCGAGGAGACCGCCTCCGTGGTGTAGCGGAAGGTCGCCGGTTTGATCCCCGACCGCGTCATACCAAAACACGTCAACATATGGTACTGGTTGGTTCCTGCCTGGCGCTCGGCATTAATAGGTACAACAAGGACTGGTCGGCTCGGAGTCAATATATTGTGTCTGAGTGGGGTATTCATGCTTCGCTGCGGCATGGTACCTCAGTGGGCTAGCACTATAAAACCAGCTTAAGTCTGGGCTAGTACAAGCAGCCGCACATACACATACACGCGCATGCACGTCGTCATATGAGCGAAATATTCTCAAGCACGACGTTAAACCCAATTTCACCTCACCTCACCTTTAACTAGCAACTACCATCTGACAGGTGAACCTTCTGGACATGAAGCGCAGCATGAACGTCAACATCTTCCTGAAGCAGTTCAAAGCCAAAAATGAGGAGGTGGTCCAGATGATTAAAGATGGTGATGATGCTGTCATTGGTGCAGAGAGACTTCGAGGACTACAGAAGAACATCCCGGAGCCAGATGAGGTGAGTGGAATCCATACCAGTCTATGTTTTATTGCATGTGGCACGAAAAAAGGTAATGAAATAGGACATCGCCAAGAGAAGTCTTACACAGATCCAGGATTCACGATCACCCAGTTAAGTCAGTAGTTTTTCAGCAGGATCCTTCTGATTTAACCAAAGTGTTGAGCATTCTCAATGTGAACATCCTTCTTTTACTTTTTAACCTGGCACACCCTGTATGACTGCATACTGTTCAAAACAGGATAGACCCAATTCCCCGCCTAATTCAAACATTTCAGTGCTACATGTGGAAGGAAGGAAATAATTCAGGTAGCCACAGATTCGAACCTGGTTATTGGAGATTTTATTTTTATTTTCAAATGACCAGAACATTTAAGAATGGTTTTTTTCGTACACAGCACTCGTAATTCAAAATTAGTGAATTTTGTTTTAGTTTTAACGTAACAAGTACTAAAGTGTCTGGCCCATCACTTGATTGTCTGGTCAAGACGCGATTGTTCACAAGCCACTCAACTAAAGTACTGTCGGAAATGCTAGAAAAATGCTTTTTAGCCTTAATATCTTTAGAAAGATGATACATGTATTATGTTGTCAATATATCAACCCCCCTATAGTGTACCTAATTTTTATTTCAATTGATTTAACATTCCCATGCATTTAAAGGGCAGTTTACAGGAGAGAATTTGGTACCAAAACAACAACTTACGATTTTGTCAGAGTTCAACAACAGAAATCTGAAATAGTCTTTACATTTATGCTAATAATACAGGTGGTGTGAAAATATAAATTAACGTTTTTCTTAAACAAATAAATGTTGAATGTTTGTGTTACTTTACTTAATTATCGTTTCTTTATTGAAGAAATATTAATATAAATGTTAAGTCTTGATAAATAAGTTTCCGTCATGCATGCACATCTTTATCACAGCGTCCACTATGGCCAACTATTTGCAGACGATTATTGCAAAGGTTTATAAGTTTTTGTGCTTGAGAAAGACAGAGGTAAACCTTTCATTAGTATATAAATGGTTTATTACAGAACTTGTAGAGCTGTTGGTATGTCTTACCAACAAGTTTACAATATTGTTAACAAATCAGACAAGACAGGGACCGTCTCAAAAGCAAAACCGGGACGTAAAACCATCCTTGACAACTCTGACAAGGGAGTACTTAGACGGGCGGTATACAAACTTTATGAGAAGAAGAATATATATATTCTCAAGAAGCTACACCAGTGACTTCGTTAAATCTTTGGCCAATGTTCACAACAAGATTAAACTGACCGAATTACATCCATATTTTTGCAATGAAATATACTGTTAACATGCAAAACATTTATTAAAACGTTGCACATTTCTACAATCAATCTATAAGATAACACAAGTGATATGATTCTTTCCAATGTACAGTAATTCGTATGTTTATTTCACAACAAACACACATACACAAATGACCCCTTACATAACCAATTCGTATACTACACGTACACATTCAACATTTTGAAGAAAACATCTATTGAGATGACCCCTCGCCCGAGCGTGTGCTCAGGTGTCAATTTCACCTGTCGATACCGTGCATGCTGATGACATAACACAGGCAGTCAATGTTTGTATCAAATAACGTCCCACTACCCCTTATTTTTCTAAGTTTTTGGTATTTTCATCAGTAAAAATGCATTTTAGAGCATGTCTCAAAATTTATTCCCTCGGTCTACATTAGGTAGATGTTTCTTAAAGTGATATTTGTTATTTTAGTAACTGTAATACCTCTGAATTTTAAATATAAGTCAAAAAGCATTTTTACAGCATTTCCGACAGTACTTTTTTTTTTTTTTAACACTTACCGTTATCACATTTTGTGAGTAGGGTGTTATTGTTAGGACAGGACATGCTTACTGTTTTGGCAAACTACGATTTTCATTTTTCCATTCAATTTTCACTTATATTTGAGACCCACTATATTCTGTTTGGGAAGTTCCCTTTGACAGTTTATATTTGGAACATATATTTGGTATATGTGTCATCTTCCATTGTCAGATCGCGACCATCAAGGCGTATGACGGCGACAAGGCGAAGTTGGGGAACGCTGAGAAATTCTACCTACTGCTGTCCGATCTGTCTGGCTACAAGGTCAGGGTCGAGGGCATGCTTCTGAAGGACGAGTTCCGCACCATCATGGAGACTCTCGTCCCCAACGTCAGGGTCGTCATCGATGCCGGGAAGATGGTCATGGATAACGAGTCGTTGAAAGCCTTCTTGAGATACGTCTTACATACGGGCAACTTTATGAACTCGGTGAGTCTGTGGAAGTAGCTTCATATTGGGAAGTGTGTGTAAACACTGTAGTGATGACGCTTCAGGTTTCTTTGCTGAAACATGCATCCTGAGATGGAGGCAATAATTTGAAAGTATCAAGGCCCCAACTTAGTTGTTGTTTTTCGTAAGAGTGGAGTGGTGACAAGCGTATATTTAAGAACCAGTTCTGGTTCTTGCATATCGCAAGTTGGCGCGCGCAAAGGGAGCCGGGAACCAGCTTAGTACCGGAAGTAGCACCTCGTGAGACTTACAGGCCCTATAACCAATTCTTTGTTTCACTTTTAGCCACCATAAAGGTTTTTTATGTGTAAACCGTGTGTTTATGACAATGTTAACCATGTTATATATCCATGTTTCAGGGCGGGTATGCGGGGAACGCCCTCGGCTTCAAGGTGGCCTCCCTGACCAAGCTGATGGACACTCGGGCCAACAAACCCCGGGTGACGCTGCTGCACTATCTGGTAGGGGAGGCGGAGAAGGAGAGTGGGGAGATACTGGACTTTGCTCAGGTCCTCCTACCCACTCTGACAGCTGCAAGCAGGTGCGTGGTTATAGGTAGCACTGGCCTCGCTGTAGTAAAGTCTTATGCCTTAAAGATTCCTTAGTCCTCGATCTGTTATCATTTGGATGGCGGTTCGATTAATTCAAATTAATACTTTTTTAATTTCCTGTGCATTGTCCCATGGATTGGTGAGGTTCACCCGGATATATATTACCCTTAATATCAATTCTCTAAACTGTAGGACATCATTATGTGATCAAGACAGTATGGTAGCTTAGTGGGTAAAGCATTCGTTCGTCCCGGCCCGGTTTCGATGCTCCACGTGGGTTCAATATGAAGCGAATTTATAGTGTGGTTATTTATTGCTAAAAGCTGGGAAAACCATTCACTCTAAATTTTATGTGTTTATCAGCTCGTGAATAAATATTTGAATATAACGATGAATTGATCATATTATCTCAAAATATTAGTACAATAACTATTCACTTAGTTATACTATCACCATGGTGACACCAATCCCCGATTACTCAACTATTCCTGCTGTTGCTGTTCCAGACTGACGGTGGACAATCTCAAGTCTGAGCTTGGTCAGCTGAAGACAAGCGTGAAGAAGCTGCAGGCTCAAGTGGACAAGTCTGGAGACGACATCAAAAACCAGTTCCAGAAGTTCATGCTGGTCAGTCAATACTTATGTACATAAGGGGATACCGTCCCCCATAAATCCAGAACCAAACATTCGGTGTGATCATTGTTGTAAACACCCACCCCTCTAAGATCCCCTATGGGGATGCGGGGTTAAAAGTGCTCCTAACAAGCTATACTGATAGTGGATCTGCTTATCAAACTCGGCGGCGTCCTAACTGACTGCGTAGGTCGTAGCTTACTGAAGGAATCACTGGATTGTCTGGTCCTGACTCAAATATATACAGACCACCGTTATGTGGCTTCGATATTAAGTACCGCTTTAAACAAAACATGCCCTTCCGTTCAGTAAATGCACTGAGTTGAATGATATTTTCAGTTTATATCTTTCCGCATAAATCTACATATAATATGATATAGAGATTTCCGATGATTACGGAAATGTTTCATGTCGCTATTAATTTGTTGTCTGAAATTTGAAAACATGTTACGAACTTTACATTTGCCATATTTTGGTAATGAAAGTATTATCTAGTAACAGAAATATGTAATAAAAAGTAATCACCCAAAGGCTGTGATGTTGTGTTCAGCGCCATTACTCCACACTCGACACACCGTTACATAGGATATAGCGGGAATGCATTTATGTCACAGATTCCATCATTTACCGACGGTTAAGCATACTCATGATCTGTTTTTCAGTCAGCCGGTGTAGACATAAAAGCCGTTGATGATAAATTTGAGGAGGTGGATGAACTCGCGAAGAAGATGGCACACCACTTCTGTGAGAATGAGAACAGTTTCAAGATGGAGGAGTGCCTGACGACCTTCAAGACTTTCTGTGAGAAGGTCAATCAGTGTCAGAAGGTAGGTCGACCGTTTCCAGAGACATTATTTCCCAAGGCGGGGGTAAAATTGAACATTAGGGTCTGACGTGGACTTCTGTTACATGTTACTGATGACAGTCTGTTGCATTCTTTCTATCTGCTGTTTACTTACTTATTTAGAATCGTATAGTATAATGATACAGATGAATATCATGGTAAGAAAAACATTTTGGCTTACTGCATTTGATAAAATCACTTACCATTGTTGAATTTTAGGAAAACACTCAAAGGCGGATTCAAGAGGAAAAAGCTGAGAGACGGAAAAAGGAACAAGAAGCCATGAAGGCCAAGCACGGAAGTGAGTGACTCGCCTTTGTTCGTGTCTATACAGAGGGACAGGCCTCAACCCTAGTGTCAGATACCTTAAGTCACAAAGGGGTGGTCAGGTAGCCTAGTGGCTAAAGCGTTAGTGGTTCTTCACGCCGAAGGACCGGGTTCGATTCCCCACATGGTTTACAATTTCTGGCGTCCACCGCCGTGATATTGCTGGAATGTTGCTAAAAGTGGCAGTGAATTGGAACCTGGCAGGATCAGATGCAACTGTGAACCTTTTGGTAATTATACGGTCCATACACCCTGAGGAGCTGAAGACCAGTGAAGATCCGTGTTATAATTGGTTTTCATCAACCCATGCTTGTCGTAAGAGGCGACTAACGGGATCGGGTGGTCGCGCTCACCGACTTCTTTGACGCATGTCATCGTATCACAAATGTCATAGATCGATGCTGTTGATCACTGGATTGTCTGGTCCAGACCCGATTATTAACAGACCCCGCCATATAGATGGAATATTGCTGAGTGCGGCGTAAAACTAAACTTACTCACTCACTCATTCACATGCACGTGTCCCCTAATGTCGTGACCAATAAGTCTGTCAACATGACGTGTCTAGATCAACCTTGACGGTTGTTACATCTCTCATAATTCCAGTGGTATTCGATACTTCGTTGCTGAAGCTAGGCCATCATTTGCATCGTCAGCAGTACAAACTTCTGACTGCGGTGTTTTGTCATGGACGTAGTTTATAAAACATCATCAAGGCTGAAATATCACATATCACCGGAGTTATAAATGATGTACCACATATCTGACTCAAGTTCGACCTTTAACATTGCTTTCCTCACAGCATATAATACCTAATGTGGGTCAACGTCAAATTAAATTGTCGAGGAATATTGCGAAATATTAAGGTACATTATTTATGTTATTTCGTCATATGCTCGCAAGGCCGGTTATTCTGAGTCTCATTAAAGACAAACAGCACGTACCGCCTTGGGCAAATTATGTGACGTATGTTGGAAACTATCGATACAACACAAGTTGCTGTTACACTCTTGTCTTGGCTATTTGCAGCAAAGTTAATTAAGTAAACACAGGGGGAAACATAATCGAGCCATTACCGAAAATATTTAGATTAGTGTCACTCACAAAGGATCTTTGAAGTAGATCAGATTTGATAAGTTTATACCGCTTCCCTTCGATTTGTCATACATTTCCACTATGGCAGCCTGAAATATTGCCGATATGACTTGTAAGTTTAACTTGCTCGATTTGGTATTTACTATTTCTTTGGGGGGGGGGGTCACGACGAAGACCCGGGTTCAATTCCCCACATGGGTACAATGTGTGAAGCTCATTTCTGGTGTCTCTCAATTAACAAATTTATGATATAATCTTAAAAGCGTTTAAAATAAGGGTGATATCATCGTTTACAGTTTTGTGTATTCATAAACTTTTCCTTGGATCGTATAAAAATCCTTCGATTGATAAATTGTGAAAGCGTTTTACCGTCAGCGGGACAAAAAAGATTCATATATTTTCTGAGGCCGGCATATCCTTGAATAAAATAGACAAACCACATTCCATATGCGAAATCAGACGCAGAGACAGCTGTACAAATCCGATCCTATCATGAGCATGTGTTTAGCTGAAAGAGTGAGTTTAGTTTTACGCCGCTTTTAGCAATATTCCAGCAATATCACAGCGGGGGACACCAGAAATGGGCTTCACACATTGTACCCATGTGGGCAATCGAACCCAGGTCTTTGGTGTGACGAGTGAACGCTTATCCGCTAGGCTACCTCACCGCCCCTATATGTTTATGTTTAACTGTTAAAACCAGTCAAACAATGTAAGACCTAACGTATAGATACTATATCAACGTTGTGTTAAGTCAAGTGTGTTTTCCAACTTACAGACAAAGCAATCAAGCCACCCCAGGAAGACGACGGATGCATCATCGACCGCCTCCTCAAGGACATCAAGAAAGGCTACTCTCTCAGGAAAGCTCCAACAAAATCCAGACCGGAAAAGGCCACCTTTGGCAAGGTCGTTGTTGATGAGGACACGAAACCTAAGGGAGACGTTATTGTTGAACCTTCCAAGACAGAGTCTACTTGCTGACCTGGACCTTTGTTGAAAGTGAATGTTTTTGTTATCGATACGTCTGAAGCGACGGCTTCCGACTGTGATGCCCATTACAAGTCACATTAGTAACTGTGGTCAAGATGTCCGAGGTGTTTTTGTGTAGGTGAATATTTTGGATTGACGTGACGAAGATCCGACACTACATTTCCGTAACTGAAAAGGACATTCGGCTTTTCTCGGAATGATCCGAGTTGGATCCGATAGTTACACAATTTTGTGATCTCAGTTACCTGTTATTTGTTGAGGACGTTGTTGTTGATGATTTTAATATATATTTTTCAATCGAAATCTGTTGTATTGGAATTTTGAAACTGAAAATTCAGTTCTTTGAAAATCAGCGTTAAAATCCAAGTTTCGTTCAAGCACTTCTCAGACGACCACTCCAGCGTGTAAGAGTCAGCACGTTTCCAAAAAATATATAATATGTACTTGATTAATTCCAATATTTAGAACGCTTATAAACAATAGACTTGCAATAATCTGACTGTCACGCTTATCAAATGTTTGTAAGCAATATAGCGTGCATAGTTTTCAGAAAAGTACAGTGTGTGATCACGCACTTGTGGTATAAGGGAGATAATCGAGTCTTCCTCTATCCTTGTAAATGGTTGTAGTGTAATTAACACTGTTAATTATTGCTTGATATTGCCAGGTCTTGAATGAATATATTTATATATCATGAAAAGTGTTTAACCTTAGGAGGAAACATCACTTGAACACTGAAGCAATTTGAAAAATGCACATTCATTTTTGTAAATATTTTGGCACAGGTGGCCTCACAATCCAATTGGGGCGTTCTGGGTATAAGGGCAAGAGATTCTTAAACACAACCGGTTCGAAGTGGATGTGTTTGGTGATGAACTTGAGCACAAAAACAGCATCTTTTCTGTTTTGAGTTATTAAAGTTGAGAATGCGTTTTCAAGGTGTTTCAGTAAAATATTCAAATGCTTCAAGTGGAATTTGGATCTACAAACATTAGGCAGCCATTACGTAATGTATATATAGTGCTTCATTTCGAATTACATTCTTAGAACACGATCTCGGCATAATTACTTCTACTCCGATGTAGTGTTTAAATAACTGTATATTTATGTACATAATCTATACTTACTGTATATATTTATTTGTATATTTGTCAATCTTTCCATTCACTACATTAAAATACCGCATTTACATTTGAATTGAGATTCCATGTTTTGACGGCACAAACCCATTAACCCACATCTTCCACACCCAGGGTACAGTCACTATGTGTGGAAAATGAACCCTTACCCCCTAGGACGGAATTAAAAACTGATCTGTATGCTGTTATCAGTAACATAATTATGGGTTCATCAATAAAAAAAATTCCTAATGTCCACTTTCCAGTGTTAAAACAAATGTTCGTTATTCAGGGGTTCCTCGCTAAGGGCGCTTCACTCAACTATGGTTACAATATATATTTACAGGGTACGACATGTTATTACAGACGCGACAGTCTGTAAGCAATATTTCAATGTTCCCCATGAGGCGGGAAGGCTTTACTGTATACGTTAAGCTGGTATTGTATCTGGGTCACAAGTTGGAGCTCAGTTGACACAGAGAAACCCCGTTTGTCCGGACACCCCACAATGTCAACTATTCCTTGAATACATACACCATACCTGGGAAAAGGTCTTCTGTATTTCCAACTGCTCCGAATAATAATATCCTTACAAAATACGTTACGTTGATTTCATTTCGATATATGCCCATGACTATACAGGTAGCTGCTGAAAGTTTAACACACGAACGCTGAATGTGACACTGGAGTCCCCAGTACTGCCACGTCATATGGTGGAAGCATATGTGAGTGAGTGAGGGAGTTGAGTTTGACGCCGCTTTTAGCAATATTCCAGCAATATCACAGCGGGGGACACCAGAAATGGGCACAGTGTACCCATGTGGGGAATCGAGAAGTATATAAGAGGCTGGTCGAATTACCATTGCCTTTGAACTGTCACAAAGCATGTAGTTGACAGATTCTAATTTCCATGTTTTAACCTGAGTAGGTCACTTTGGAAACGAGTTGTTTCTATTGTCTCAGACATATGTCATTATTTTATGTATGAAAAGACAGTTTCATATGGTAATATGTACTGAACGAGGCATTTTTATTCTCCCGGTGTATGTACTAAAAAGATTCATTACAACCCATGGCTGATTTCCTCATCCAGAATTTGCTTTGTCACGACAATTAATGTACTTAGAAACGAAGTTTTACCAATCGGAACTGTCGGATGCTCCGTTCCTCAAATCAGCCTATCCTGATGTGTAACACCAACAGAATGTTGCCGAGAATGGTTGTACCCATTCGTCAACAGTCGTCCCTTTCCGTTACCTGTAAGAACAGCGGCATGTCCCGGAACAAAACGAGTTATTACGAATGAGGTTGTACTGGGTATTTGGATGGTTTAGGTTTTAGCTGATAAAACATGGACTCTCAGTTTAACTCTATATTGTACTCGGCAGAGCCATCTGAAACTGTTTCTATTTTTTTAGTCGATAAAACTGTTGAACAGCCAGTCTACCACTGCGTGTAGTTTCTTACACAAATAAACATCTATGCATTTTCAGCATGTTGGTCTTCTGTCTTTCATTCCTGTGTGTTAGACTGCCTCCTTGGTCTAATGGGTAAAGCATCGGACCGACAGCGGGAGGGGGGTGGTTCGATTCCATGAGCGACTGCGGTTATCTTCAACGCGACGATAAACCTCATTTTAGATCAACTCGGCTCTAAAACTTGACCATTACATATGTTTGATCTAGGCTGGACAACAAGTGTTTTAGGTTTTGCAACGCTTTTCGCAAGGTAACATCATGATTGTGCCAGTGCAAGTATGTTAGGAATCGAACCCGAAACTCGGTGCGATGAGCAAACGTTTAAACAATCCAGACCTTCGAGCTGTGCTAACATTCATTATTATTTGTCCCCAGTAGTATATGCTCACTGGGGACCGCCTCCGCGGTGTAGTGGTTAGAGCATCCGCCCGGAGAGCGGAACGTCATGCCAAAAGACGTTAAAATATGGTACTTGTTGGTCCCTGCCTGGCGCTCGGCATTAATGGCTACAGCAAGGACTGGTCGGCTCGGAGTCAGTATAATGTGTCTGAGTGGGGTATTCATGCTTCGCTGCGGCATGGTATCTCAGTGGGCTAGCACTGTAAAACCAGCTTCAGTCTGGGCTAGTACAAGCAGCCGCACATACACACGCATGCACGTCGTCATATGAGCGAAATATTCTCAAGTACGACGTTAAACCCAATTTCACCTCACCTCACCTCACCTAACCTGTGCTGACTGGGAAACGTAGGAGTGAATCGTGTGGTCATTCTTTGGTGGCTGGGTTCTGGTCTGCCAAAACGAGTAAACGTTAGAGGTTGTCGTGGGCTGCGATTGGATTTATAACTTTAGTCTCGCGTTAAATCTTTTGTTGTAGTGAGAGTGAGCTGAGGTTTACGCAGCTTTGAGCAAAATCAGGGCGGGGGACACCAGAAATGGGCTTCCCACATTGTACCCATGTGGGGAATCGAACCCCGGGCTTCGGCGTGACGAGCGAACGCTTTAATTAACCACTAGGCTACTTCACCGCCCCTCTTTTGTTTTAGACATTACAGTATATCAAGGAGGTATATCCACACAGAAACCTTGCTGCGGCGGAGCAAACTGTTTCGTTCAGATCAATTAGAGGTCTGTGACCTTTGGAATATTGACGCATTTTGAGGAATTCGCAGTGATTCAGCACTTGTAGAAAAAGCAACACCAAAAGCCTTCCATGAAGACATGAGCCATATTATTAATGTCACATAATATGGACATATATAATGGTTTATATGACGATCTTGCTACGTTTTGTTCATTTGCTAAATTTGGATCTGCCTGTGGACCGATAGAGCCCTAGATAGTGCCTGTGTGTGTCTTCGCAAATACAAGAATCTGACTGGAGCCCCTCATCACACACAGGCACTGTATTAAACATTGTCTATTTCGTCCGCCATTATGCTCATGATGTCAGTCACTGGATTGTCTGGTCCAGACTCGATTATTCACAGATCGAACTCATATAACTGGAATATTGCTGAGTGTGGATTTAAGAAACAAACGAAAGACAAAACGTGAAATATAGTACGTCAATATTATTTATAAAAATATAATGTAAAATATATACGACAAGTTAAAATTTAAAATCTGGAAAATGCATATAAACTACTTACAGGAAGTAACAGATTCAAAGTTATATTATCACAATTGTACGTATTGGGGGTAAAACATCCATATTGTGTCAGGAATATAGATGCTAATCCTTGTGGTCGACACTTCAAAACGGTAGAATGTATTTCACTGCTCTGTTACATTGTGCGGAGACTGCATTACGAAGGGAGGTAACCCATGTTCAGGATCCGTTGTAACACTTCCTGGCAATCAGTCAATGTTAAGTGATGGCTTGATGTAGATGGTCACTTTGCCTCCAAGCGTCAGCACCGTCACTGGGACTGCACCTGTACGATCCGTGTCTGAAAAATAAGACGAGCAGATTTAGAGTTATGTCCCCTAGATGCTAACGTAACCTTTACACGTCTGACGTGAGTTTAGTTCTACGCCGCACTCAGCAATATTCCAGCTATATGGCGGCGGTCGAGTCAGGACCAGACAATCCAGTGATCAACAGCATGAGCATCGATCTACACAATTGACGATGACATGTGTCAATCAAGTCAGCGAGCCTGACCACCCAAGCCTGTTAGTCGCCTCTTATAACAAACATGGGTTACTGAAGACCAATTCTTTCCCGGATCTTCACGGGTCTGTTCGTGTGTGACTGTTCTAACAATATGGATATAACTATTAAATACCAGTCCTTGTGTATACCAGTTCGTGACTTCCAACTGTTCGATATTTCCCACTGTTTGCTAGTTTTACTCGAATCTACAGGAAGCATATGAGAGATGACGGTTAAACCGTTAGGGTATACTTCAATAATACAGCTGAACCGTTCCGCTAGATACTTCAATAATACAGCTGAACCGTTCGGCTAGATACTTCAATAATACAGCTGAACCGTTCCGCTAGATACTTCAATAATACAGCTGAACCGTTCCGCTAGATACTTCAATAAAACAGCTGAACCGTTCGGCTAGATACTTCAATAATACACCTGAACCGTTCCGCTAGATACTTCTATAATACAGCTGAACCGTTCGGCTAGATACTTCAATAATATACCTCAAGAAGTACTCTAATAGGTATAACATGATTTTCATCTCGAATATGTTCTGAAGCTTAAATTCACGTTTAGAAACAGGACTATAGACTATACTTGAAGGTGACAGGATAAATTGAAAGTAACAATTACCTGGATATACCACAGTCCTTGCGTCTACAACGTCAACAACGCGATCATCACGAGCGCGACGACAGAACTTCGCCACTGTTGGGTGGGTGTGGCTGAGTTCCTTCACATCACGGTGGGTCATAGGGCCGGCTCCAGTCATGATGAAATCTTTAACCGTCAGTGTTGGATAGACGATCTGAAAAACATTCGACGACCACTTTAAATGACTTCAGTTTATTGTGTTAACTCTAGATAACATTGGACTATACAATATCTGGCAATCTCCAAATGTTATTTCACCTACATAGTTTCAAATTGTTTTAAAATTTCGACGAGTGTCTAATATAAGAACGGAAAAGTAGCTTCTTCCTGAAAAGACATCGTTCACCTTCATGGGAAATCTCATTTCGATATTACATGGTTAAATATACTAAACTGGACACACAGACTCTTAACAACTTGTTAAAATTGACCCAAAGTACGTGTGTCAATTAGGAAATGAACTAGTCGTTGAGAAGATAATATCACAGCTATTCTCAAAAGTCAAATCGGTAACGAATTGCAATACGAATATTGAATGTAAAAGGTTTAGAAATTAAAGAAATATTAAAAAGCTGCGCAAGTTGCAATCCATAATTCTGAAAAAGCATCTACAGTTCATTCAAATAAAATAAAAATCTTGAACTTCGTCAAGTTAATGGGTTGTGGTCAGTGACTGTACTCACGTGTCGCTTCGTGACGTCATGGACAGAGAACTTGAACCCATGATGGAGGACAGACCCGGGGATGAGGAAGCAAAACTTCCTCCCATTCAGTCGGAGCTTCACAGCAGCCTGCTTCTACAAACAAAGGTGATGGAGTGAGTGAGTGGACGTCGTCGTTATATTTCAAATTGATTGTAAATGAACATTTTAGGACAAGGCCTCTACACACGTTTCTGCAATAGGAAGGATACAACCTTAACTTTAGATGATCAATTTCCAGTTTTCTGGCAATTTTTTTTAGAAAATCTGCTGGAATGACTTCCGCCCCTATCCCCCCTGAAATTTCATTCTAGTCAAATCATATCACCTGAATATATATTCCTTATCTGATAAGGATGAGTTTTAACATGTTTTTTAATTATATCTCATTGTTAAAATTTAGTGGGGATACGGGCGGAAGTCTTACCAATCCGCTTCCACTACTTACATTCTGATAGTCGTATACTGAGGCAGATCCCTGTATATTGATGTTTTCCAACAGTCTGTCCTTGGACTTGAGATAAATTGTCTTGGTAGCTTTGATGACGTACGCTCTCTCCGTCACTGTCACGTCATCCGTGACCTGACGAGTCCAGTTGTATAACCCCCCGGCGCTGCCATGCTGCAAAGACACGGAGAAACATCAAGGTCGTGAAACTGGTCGTAGCCGGACAAGATATGTGATCAAGGCGTCTTTTTATAAGAATTTTATCATGGTCACATATTTTTATTTTTAAACATTTTATTGCGCGACTGGAAAAGGGAATTGGTAAACAAGTCAGTTCTTATATTTCTACCTCTCCCGTTATAACAATCAGGAACACATTGTATACATGTAGTCTGTCATACGGACCCTGAAACAAATATACCAAATACAGCCCTCCAAGTCTACAGTTTATGGCAAGTCTAGATTACTGCAGTTTCTGAAAATGAAGAAAGTCTCTGGACTCATCTCTATTATGCATTAGGGATCTAATATAGGAACTATGTTTTTAAGTGTGTTCATTTTAGAGACTAGTTGTTGCCAACAACTGATGGTAAATGCGTATCTATAATAATTAGTTAATGTATACCTTGGTGGTCAGTTATCAGACTAAAAGTCCAAAATCTAAGTTAGGGTTAGGGTTATATTAGGGGTTAGGTTTAGGGTTAGGTTTAGGTTTAGAGTTAGGTTTAGGGTTGGGGGAACGGAAGGAACTCTTTCCTCCGGTTCTGACAGATTAGTCATGAGGTTACACATACTTGCTACATAACGTACACAAGACAATATAATTAGTCTTGCTCCAAGGCTGTACTGAAGCCCATGGATGTATAGTAATTCTGTCCTTTAAAGAGGCAAGACTAGATAAGCGGACAGTACATCTAAGGACGCCAGTCTGTTAGAGGGATATTGTTTTTAGAAATTAGCATTTAAAATATTAATTATTCCCTTTAAGGCTTGTGCAAGTCTGACGTTATATAAGTGCTCGGAGTACCCTATACGTGTAAATATACTCGGTGGTTGGGATTGTACGAGAGCTTCAGATAGAAACGACATCACACCAGTTAGTACATGTATTTCCATATAAGAATTGTTTCCTGCGTCCGCATGTATGGATGAGTGAGTGATATTTAACGTCACATTGTCAATGTCAGCCATACAATGACGAGAACAAATATGTATTAATAAGAAATACATTTAAAGTAAACTAACCCTGTCGTCAATGGACAGAAAAAAACAACTAGACACAGATTGTGACTTAAAACTAACAAATTATCATAAAACGATAGGCATTGCACTACATGATACAGATTTCTGTTTACAAATACATACTAAATATCACATATGGAGAAATGGTATAACCTAATAGTGTGAAATACAAAGTTTGACAAAATTTCTGTGGAAAAGTCAAACGTGTTATACTACATGTGTATATACAAAGTTGAATGACATGACAAACCTCGCGCTGCAGTCGGCCGAATCTCATCCGATATCTCCTGTCAATTTTCCCACCTTTTCTCCTTCTTTCGCCGTTAGGGCCATGTTGATGAGAAGAAGCAATACCCAGGCAAACAAGTATCATTGATAAAGAAGTAAGATTCATTGTAACAGAATTAATGTAAAATGGTCCTTAAAAACAAACAATCTGATGTAAATGACTCGAGCAGTAGTTGCTGAACCTTATGTAGATCCTCGTCTCAGCGTGGGCGCTTAATTACGACTTCAGCATGGGGTGAGCTGGTTGTTGAATACTCGCATTAGGAATGTGATGCTTGGCTTAGAACAATATGTCTCGAGCGAGTTGACATGTCGGCGTGGGAACACTGCTCATAACATAAGCGTGCTAATTGGGCTTTAATCTTCCCTTGTCCCCTCCGCAGCCATGTCAAGAGTAACAAAATGGAAAATGTACTCAAATACAAGCAAGTTATGTTCTACACATGATGTAGAGTTTAAGATGTTTGAAAAAAAGCAAACACATTTGAATATATTGATTACAAGAAAATGCACTAGTATTATATCCGAGTGTCTGGTATGATTTGGTATATATCCGCGTCAAGTCTTTAGTATGATTGGGCAAATCTATATTTCTTGAGCCCGAGGCTTGAACTTAGGCATTGTTCAGGGCTCCATTTAGATTTCATTTTTTAGTTTGTAGACATACATGTACATTTTTTTTATAAAATATCTTATTTCTTGTACTAAATGTTTATATACACTATGGCATGAGCTCTCAGTCTTCAGATTATTAGATAATATTTCAGAAATGGATGAATGATTGTTTATCTAATTCAGAAACAACTGAACCAATCACAGTTGTCGGACGAACGAGTTCATGAATGTGACACTTTTCATTAGGTTGTGTCAATGTAAATATGAACAGCTTCGTGTACGAAATACGCATTGTCGTACTTCGGAAAGCGCACGTAAAATCTCCAAATCAGTATCGTCCGCTGAAGAACAAAATACAGGTCTCTTTGATATTTGAACGGGTTATTTCAACTTTACATAAATGGCAAAATGTGACTACATGTTAATGAAAATATTATATAAAAAATCAAACTTGGAAAATTATTATGTAAACTTGTTGCACGACTCACACCTCTGAAAATACACGACGCTGAGTAATAAAACCAAGGGGGGCTACTCGCGCAACCTTGTTGTAAACACATAAAGCGCGAATTGATATTTCTGTGGTCAAAGTTCACCATAACTACTATAACTATCACTGCTGCTGCAGCCGCTGCTGCTGCTGATGATGATGATGATGCTAACGCTGCAAATGCTACTATTACAGAAAGATTCCGGGAAAGAAAGAGAAATCCATGCTTTTTGTAACTTACACAAATGGATCTGGTGATCAGATTCTCTTAATTGGCTGATTAATTGACGTGGAAAGTTGTTCAAAATATGAATCACTTGTTTGTGCGGTTCACACTCGATTATTTTCAGGCCACCGTCATACAGTTGGAATATGACTGAATATTACTTAGACTATTGTACATACTCGATTGTGATTGATAAATCAGAAGGTTCAAACCAAAATAACCACCTTTGAATGATTTGATGGCTGATATCCGACGGCGCTAACACTTATGGAAACTGTAATTCTTCCTCAATCATTGTGGTGGGACTTTTTAAGTGAAGAAAGTCCTGTAGAATGGTCGTTGACAACATGCAAGGCTACTACAATATTCAAGACCCGAGGGATTCCAAGAAGTGAGTGATTGAGTGAGTTTGGATTTACGCCGCTTTTAGCAATATTCCAGCAATATCACGGCGGGGGGACAAAAACAAGGGATTCCAAGAAACATATGTCCCCAACAACTATGCTTGATAGTAATAGTTATTATTGTGTCTGGCCAAATTTGATAAAATTCAAAAGACTAATGTTAATAAAAAAACCTTAGAGAACTGAAAAACCTATCAAAATTTATAAACGTTATCTTAAAAAGTTGCTAATTATGTCCATCAAGACTTTTCGTTTAATGTATTATAATCATATATGTATGTACAGTTTTTATGTACTCTATATCAATAAGGGACAAATATACTTGTACACAAATATCAATGCATATAGCCATCTTGTGTCTTTTAATCATATATTGTACGTATACTCATGTACCACCGTTGGTGGCGTTAATGAGTTAATAAAATGATGAAAGATGATGATGGATGTGATCAGTGGTCAGGCTCGGCGACTTGGCTGATTGAATATGAATATTTCAGTGGCGTTGATCGACGTGCATGATGTCAATTACTGGATTGTATTCGTCATATAACTCGAATATTCGTGTAAATAGAGTTAAAGAACAAGCAAGCAAAACAAAATTACGAGTAAGAGTGACAGTGCGTTTTTTAGACTAAATTACGACAGAAAGAGAACATGAGAATGACTTTTCAACTCTTAGAGACAATGGGTATTTGAAACGTCACGTTATCTATTGTGTCAACAAGCACGATATATGTCATACGTGACGAACGGCGTTGAACTAATATTTGCGGGGCTTGTGTCATATTTAGTTCGAGATGTATAGAATATAGCTGTGCTTATCTCAGATACAAACGTATTGCGAACTTTGTAATCAATGTAGAGCAGGGTTACCTTTTGACATTATTGTTCTGTTCTGTTCCTTATCGTTTCCGACCGCCTCCGTGGTGTAGTGGTTAGAGCGTCCGCCCGGAGAGCGGAAGGTCGCGGGTTCGATCCCCGACCGCGTCATACCAAAAAGACGTTAAAATATGGTACTTGTTGGTCCCTGCCTGGCGCTCGGCATTAATGGGTGCAACAAGGACTTGTCGACTCGGAGTCAGTATAATGTGTCTGAGTGGGGTATTCGTGCTTCACTGCGGCATGGTATCTCAGTGGGCTAGCACTATAAAACCAGCTTCAGTCTGGGCTAGTACAAGCAGCCGCACATACACATACACACGCATGCACGTCGTCATATGAGCGAAATATTCTCAAGCACGACGTTAAACCCAATTTCACCTCACCTCACCTCACCTCACCTTATCGTTTCCTGTAGTTATCTATATGTTTTATGCCTTTGTTGTTATTATTGTGGACTAGTGTTTACACACCGTTTTTCTGTTGATACCCGAAAGTCAGTTTTTAAAAAATATATGTATTATATAAAATTAAAAGGAGAGAGGGGAGGGGGGAACACCCACAACTGTTGAATGGTTTCAACAATCTTCAGCTATGACGCTCCGTTTCTAGTAGAAGATCATTGTTACGTGACATCACAAACAGTTTTGAATGATGTGAACTGTGACGCCCGATGACGTAAACAATACCCTGGTGCATCTGAAGTGATACTTGCACCAGTGCACATACGACTTATATCGTGTGTTTTTCATGAATAACGTATAATCTTCTCCCTGGCGGTAGGTAATAAAGAGAAATATCCAACAGGAAAAATGTAAACATTCTATTATTGATCTGAACGTGGATATCAGCTGGACATGTATGTACAGAATATACGACTATCATTTCGTCTGAAAGTGACAAAATTGTTGCCCTCTTGCTATGGATCCGGAGAATAAAGAGGAATTTTGAAACGGAAATAGTTCTCTGTGTTGAATAGTGTCGGTATCTGTCACATGGATTTCAAAGGGTTCTTTGTAACAGTTATTAAATCCTCCTTTCTGTTACCGCATGGGTTCAAGCATGTTGAAGTCGGACTGTTTGTCTGGGGTTTATACGCCACTGACTGTCGCCGCTGCAGTCAGATAGCTATAAATACAAACGGTACATATAAACTGTACAACTGTACATTCGCCCCATATCAGGTTCAACGTCAGGAGTCTCAGTCGGGTCAAGCGATTCTCTGTTGGAGGTGAGTCTCTCGGTTAATAATGCAAAACTGACGTTATATAGGCCCTGCTTATAGAATTGTGGGTGTCAGAGGGTGAGGAAGGACAATACGGTGGGGATTGGAGGGGGCGCTGAGTTGGACAATGTTTGATTCAGTGTGTGTGGTAGGCGGAGGGGGGAAGAGAGTCAAGATAGGGTCAACGTGGAGTAGGTGAGGACAATTAGGTGGAGTAGGTTATAGAGAAGGGGTTAGGTGGACTAGGTTAACGCATAGTCTCTGAATATATACATAAATGTATGTGTGAATCGACCTGTAGCTTAGAGGTTGAAGTGTTAGCTCGTGGCACTGGGTTCGATTCCTCACATGAGGTTAGTGCCTAGATGCCGTTCCTGGTCTGTTGTTCTTGTCTTCACGTACGGCTGAAATATTGTCCCAAGCACAGCAAACGAAGTAAACCCATACACACTGCAGAGATTGTCCACACAGCTACACCCCATACATACAGCCTGACCCACCCGACCCACTATCCACACGCTACATTCTTACCTACTACCTATTCTGGTCCGTGTGTCACAGTTCCTGAACGATATTATTTTCCGTTCCTCCCATCCATTAATGAAAAAATCCTAAATGAAGTGAGTCTAATTTTCCTCAGGTTCAGATTCTGAATACATATGGCATTGAAGGATGGGAGAACGGAAAACATGCCTTTTTATAAATAATTGTAGTAAAGAAGTTATGTAGCCATAGGATTATCTATTGTTCACCTACCCATTATACTAGCATACATAATGTGTCATAAAGCAGTATATTGTTGTCAAGTTCTAACTGCATGTAGGTATAACACTGCATGTCAGTGGAACCAGTAGAGCAGAAAAGCAAAACATACCACGCCTTACACAGCCTTTCACTATAGTCTGTCTCACAGTCCCTGAACCACATTATTTCCCTTCCACTCAACCCATTCTGTAATGCTGAATCCCAAAAGAAACAAGTCTAGATTTCCTCAGGTTCCCCATCTCACTGTTGCTTCCTTTCAATTAAAAAATAATGATTTGTTTCTATGGCAATTATATATATTCATAGCCTGAGCGTTAGTCTACCTTACTATCGCGTTCCCAGGATTTAGACGCTATCAGCGTGTTGTAACCCCTCAGCCATGAAAATATTCCATCTATTGAAATTTCTTCTTTATTGCTGTTCTAGAAGCAGAATACACAGGACTGGCGTAGTTCGATCTGTGTATTGAAGCGTGAAGAGAAACAATATATCCAGAAAACAGATAATACTATCTGCTGATCGAACCGACTGTCAGTATGGACAGCGTGTGAATGTTTGTCCGGCAAACTGTTAAAGACGGTAGATAAACAAGTGAAGATTAGAGACAGTTTACCGCTAATCAGAGGCGGACGAGCACTTATATTGTGCCCGACGTGTTTCAGGAGTCAGCGAGAGTGCAGGAGATACAGGAGAAGTGAGGTGGTTGTAGGCGAGGGTTTGATTACAGTTTCTCCTTATAGCTTGTGAGAGCTGACTTCAGTCGACCAGTTGCTGCCAGCCCGCTTCAGCAACTCGTCGCTCCACCGCTCACTCCGGCATGTGGCCGACAGATGGGGTAACCACGTTCTGAGCGAGAGGAGTCTCGGAGCTTTTACTTCAAGTGAAAATATCGTGTTATTTCCCTCCTGGATATTGTGGACACTGTTCATTTGGAAAAGCCGTCGTCATGAACGGGGATACTGCTTCACCACCTGTACAAAGGTCAACGCGATTCGCGGCAGCTAAACGTAAGAAACAACGAGGGAAGAGAGCCCGGTCGGATGGCTTTGTTCTTGGGCTGGATCTTGCCAATTCGGATGATGAAGATGATAGTTCTAAACTGGATTCCGATTCTCTGCAGTTCCTTCTGTGGATACGGAACCCTACTGTCCAAAACTTGGCCAAACTTCGGAAGGCTATTAAGTCAAATGACCGAGACTGGATGCGTGAGTTTCTGGAGTTTGATGGATTAGGGCTGTTATTCCAGTGTCTCAAAAACCTGTCCAGTTATAAGGGGGTCAGTTTGTCCGACATGGTGCTACGGATGGAGTGTGCCATGTGTGTCCGGGAAGTGGTCAACTCCCAGAGTGGCCTCGACTGTCTCCTCCAACTCAAGGGAAAGAAGGACAATATATTCGGCCGGAGATTGGCTGCAGGTAGGACAGATTTAAACATTCTGTTATCAGTTTTATATCAAAACAAATATGACATGTATAAGCGCAATACATGCCACGGAACGTTTAGATGTCGTTGACTGATTGATGTATTCAACTATAACACTTGACCGAGGTCGTGACGTTTGTAGTGTTGAAGTAGTAGTTGTGGTGGTGGAGGAGGCGTCGACATGTGGTAGATCTATAATGATCGTAGTAGTAGTAGTAGTAGTAAGTAGTAGTAGCAGTTGTAACAGTAACAGCTTTAGTTGAAGAAGTCAAAGAGTTTGTAGTAACAATATAAGCAGTAGAAGTAGTAGTAGTAGTAGTAGTTACCGTAGTTGTAGTAACAGCTAAAGTTGTGGAAGAGGACGTAGTAGTAGTAGTAGTAGTAGTAGTCGTGGTACAGGTAAAAGTGGTAGAGGAGGTAGAAGTGAAAGAAGTAGTTGTCCTATCAGTTGACGTAACAGAGAAGTAAGAAGAAAGATTGGTGGTAAGGTTAATTTAAGTGGAATTGTAAATATTGGTATAGTATTCCTAGTAATAGCAGTAGTAAAATCTATTCACTGTACCCCTTCACTAAATGAAGAGGAATGGAATGTACAGCACGACCACCTTTACCTTACTTGTACGCGAATGACAAAACACTGCACAACGTGATGTATTCATAGTGCTTTAATGACATTTTGATTCCTATCAACCAACTCCAAGCTGAGTCATGAATGTGTAAACACGTTTTAAAGAGCTTAACATTCACTGTAGGTGTACTATCAAGTTTGTCAATAAATCATCATACCCAGGTGAACAATAACTTGGACTACAACACTTTACAAATGCAATACACCCCCATGTCTCGATACTTTTGTCACATGTATTTATTAGTCTATAATATGGACACATCAGGAAGTGAGTGCAAATTACCATTACTGTGAACTTGTTTTCAAGCTTCAAAAAATATCGGCTGAACTCGCGACGTATCCATGGTAACAGGCGCTCTCTAAATAGAGCGCCATGCACATGTAGCTGTACGTGTAAGGGAATCCCTGTTTTATTATTCCGCTCACGGGAAACCCCCTTTGAAATTCCTTATCGATTGGTGCTGTTGGCCAAGGGTGCACTTGTCGTACTTTGTTCCCAGAGATGATAGTAGAGAGGACTGAACTGTTTGACACATTTTCTGAAACAATGCAAACAAGCACTTGCAGTCCCGCCCCTCGACAGGGGAAACCCTAAGGTCACGTGAGTCACTGTGACGTCACGAGGTCTGTGTACCTAGAGGTGACAGACAACATAGCGATGACTCATCTCGTCGCAGAGACCTCCGCTATGTTCTACAATGTTCGTTAAAGTACAAAATTCTTCATTTCCTTGATGTGTGTTTTCGCCCTGCTGTTAGGGAAGGTGCGGTGGAAGCTCTTACTCACCTTCTAGTCTGATCTGTTTTAAACAGTGTGATTCACTTGACACAACGCAAAAGATCATTGATCGGTAAATGCATTATTAAAACGACATTTGCACTGAAACACCGAATATCTAACACAGACAATAATATGATTCATCGGCATTTGAAGGATGCTTATAGCTATCTGTTGTCTGTTGTGAACAGCTCAAGTTTATAGGGAAAACAACGTGTATCATATGGGCTGATCCAGGAATTTTGAAAGTGGTGTGTGTGTGTGTGTGTGTGTGTGTGTGTGTGTGTGTGTGTGTGTGTGTGTGTGTGTGTGTGTGTGTGTGTGTGTGTGTGTGTGTGTGTGTGTGTGTGTGTGTGTGTGTGTGTGTGTGTTTCAGGGGCTTTGAACCCCCTGAACCACCCCCACCCCCACATTGGCTCCGCTAACGCAAAAAATCTTCAATGTCTTAAGTCATTTTCAAAGGATCCGCCAATGTATCAATATAAATAATACTATACTATGTACTGTTGCTGCAAAAGGGAGTCATAATGGGTGAGTGAGTGAGTGAGTTTAGTTTTACGCCGCCTTTAGCAATATTCCAGCAATATCAGGGGGGTGGTTTGGGGGGTGGGGACACCAGAAATGGGCTTCACACATTGTACCCATGTGGGGAATCGAACCCGGGTCTTCAGCGTGACGAGCGAACGCTTGAACAACTAGGCTACCCCACCATCCCAGAGTCATAATGACTCAATAAGATAAGAAAAGATCAATTGTATTGTACATCTACATCCACTAGGGGACTGGGTACATAAACAAACGAATGGCATTACATGTTGACACAGTTTGAAAAATTATACAGCTATGATAATAATGATGATTGGTTGGTTCAACTTGTTTGTCTGGGGCAGCTATGGTCTGGGGCAGCTATACAAATTGAAAATCTTTGGAATTTATTGAATTCTGATAGAATTGTTGGATGGGCAATTCTTAGAATTTGAGTGTGCGTTCAGTTTTACACCATATAGCATAAGCAATATTCCAGCTATATGGCGGCAGTCTGTAAATAAACGTGTCTGCACTAGACATCCAGTGATCAACGGCATTCATGGGCATTAATCTACGCAATTGGGATACGATGACCTGTTAATCAAGTGAGCGAGCCTGACCACCCGATCCCGTTAGTCGCCTCTTACGACAAGCATGGGTTACTAAAGACCAATTCAAACCCGGATCTTCACGGGTCGATAATAATGAGACAATGTCAGGTTATAGAGAACTATCATCTGTTAAACCTACACAACTATGGCGTCTTGCAGTATTTTAGGTTTATGGCGACGGTGTGTAAATAATCGAATCTGGGCCAGACAAGCCAGTGATCAACAGCATGAGCATCGATCTAGGGCCCGAGGTTCGATACAAACGCAAAATGGTGACTAAAACAGAATACGCTGGGACCAAGCTGTTACTTCGAGACAACTATATCGGCTATAAGGGTTGGTTTTACAAGAATTTCAGATAAGTAATAGTGTCGCCCTTAGAGTTGCTGTTGAAGATATTTGCAGGAAGTGATAATTTCATGGTTAAGTAGAGAGAGCCGTTAAGGAGGAAGTGGTCTTTATCTTCACTCCTTCATCATCGCTTCTGAGTGGCACAGCCGGCGTAGACGTTGCTCAATTGTGGGCTTATATCGCCCTCACTCAACTTCCGGTTGAATAATGTAATGAATTATGATTACATGTAATTCTACCATGACTTAAGTAAATACTGGATTGTGATTGGTTAATTAAAGTCATTCAGAGGTTTTAGAAACATTTTAAAGCTATTATAATTTCGGTATATACCTCTGATTATCCAACGCAGTATATTTATTTCCTAATTAATAAATGAAAGTTTCAAATCCAGATTCATGATAGCTGTCAGTGTTTAAAGTTGTTACATTAATGTATGTTTGGTTTTCTATAACTTCTTTGAGTGGCATTTTAGAAAAGTACAATATAGACATACAATGTGTATAGACCTTGTTATCCATAACGTTTGTCTATGTTGGTTTTCTTTGTTTAACACTTTGAATTGTAGTTTATATATTTGTTCTTTCATGAGTGCTCTTAAATAAATATCGTATCGTATCTTATCTTATAAAAGTATGTAAAAAACGACTGTGGACAGGACAATCCAGTGATTGATAATATTATCATTCTAATGCAAAACGATCACTGAAGGAACAAAGAATACATAGAACGTGGTATAAAGTCTAAAAAAAACGCGCAACTGACTACGATACTATTAGTCTGTCATACAGACCCTGAAGTAAATATATCCAAGAAAGCCCACGCAGGTCTAGAAAATGTGGCAAGTCTGAAAATGAAGAAAGTCTCAGGGCTCCTTTTCATTATACATATATATATTTTTTTACTATGAACGTTTTTTTTCAGTAAAATATGTTCATTTCAGAGACTAGTTGTTAGTCTACGATACTATGAAATGACACATATTTTTGTAGAAACCCCATAAATGGGCGTTTCAATGATCTTGACACGATATCTAGATTGTCTAAACACTTGCCCTCCCTGCCCAGCACAGCTGGTTCTGGCTTCTAGTGAAATATACAACTACCATGAAATACACACCGCCGCCCGTGAGGAACGCTTGATGACAGAGCCTGTCACAACACATCGCCGTCGTTGTAGATGCAGTATGGAGTTGGTGGTGATGTTGTTACTGAATATGGGAAAATTGAGAAGAAAGTATTGCTTTACAGAAGATAACAGAGCTCATTTGAAATATCCGGTTTAGAAATACATGTTTATTTTCATTTTTTTAAAGTACATCCATCAATAATATATACCGTACAAACCACGAATGTATTAGTCTGTCATACAGACCCTGAAGTAAATATATCCAAGAAATCCCACGCAAGTCTAGAAAATGTGGCAAGTCTAGCTCAGGGCTCCTTATCAATATAATTTTTTTTGTCACTTTGAGCTTTTTTCTGTAAAATATGTTCATTTCAGAGACTAGTTGTTAGTCTACGAATTTATATAGACATGTACACACAGAGTCAAATATTAGCTCATTGCATATTCTACTTAGATTTACATAATTCGAATAGGGAAGTGCCCACATTTCGTTGATGTACCCTTTCTCGTGTTCCATTCTTTTAAACTAAAGACGTAACAGATGATTTCGGATCCCAAATTGTCCCAAAAAATATATAAGTGTTTTGCTGTATTATATACATATAATCATATGGTTGAAAGCTAGTCTCTGAACTTAACTAAATAATAAAGTAAAAAACGAGGTCTTAAGTTATATAAATAAAATATGTGTATGGAGACTGGGACTAATTTAAGAAACTACAGTAATCTTGACATCCAGACATTATAGACTTGCCTGGGCTGTATTGGATATGTTTGTTCAGGGTCTGCATGGCACACTAAAATGACGTTTGACATGTTCAGTGGGATGGATAAAATATAATTGAGACTGTTTTCCTAGAAACATACATTAACAACAGAACCACAGCTGACATTCTTTACATCTTTGTGTAACCTTGTCAACATTGTTCAGCGCAGATAAAGCTTTACAAGTAATGAATTCGTTTGCAAA